GACTGTTTAAATACAAACAGTTATGCAACAATATTAACCATCTTCCTGAAGGTATGCGAGTTGAGGGTTGAATATCAATTGAAACAGAGTAGCATTCTTTTCTGATACATGATAAAAATAAACTTAAAAAATACGAAAAATAAATAAACAATAAAAGATTTACAAAGTGAATACATAGGAAGAAACATTAAAACACGAAAAAGTGCAGGAAGGAATCGCTTTAAGAAAACGGGAAACTCAAAGGGGATACTACGCGAGAAAAAAAAAAGCAGACGATTTAGTTGGTGAGAAAGAACCCACATTAAAGCGAAGGTAAGTAAAGAACGCAAAATAAATAGTGTAGAAAGTACCAATTGAACAGAACACGAACCAGCAAGGAAAGGTCAGTGAAAGGGACATAAAGAACGCCATTTATTAGCCACGAAAGAGAAAAAAAAATATATATATATATATACAGAGAGAGAGAAACACTCGCTCCGGAGAAGCAGCAAAGCCACGTCCTCCTGTTGGGCGGAGATCACAAAACAGGAATTGCAGACGTCTGGGGAGCTGTCGGCCTGTAACTGTAACTAGTGTGTGAGATGGCCGGCCTGAAACTGCTGGGAAATCCAAGTGTAATTATCAGTGTTGATTCTGTGTGTTGTTATCAGTAGTATCATCATCAGTGTTATTTCCACTTTTTATTCATTGTATCATTATTAGCGTTATTTATCTTTTTATCATTATGATCATTATTAGTTTTGATTCTCTTTTTGTTGTCAATATCATCATTATCAGTGTTATTCTATTTTTATCAGTATTGTCATCATCATTATCATGAACAGATTCATTATTACTTGTTTAACATTATTCTTTGTATTCTTGTTATTGTTGTTATTATTGTTATTACTATTATTTTTTTATCATTATTATTGTTATTACTATTATTTTTTATCATTATTATCATTATTATTATTATTATTATTATTATTATTATTATTATTATTATTATTATTATTATTATTATTATTATTATTATTATTATTATTATCATTATTATTATTATTATTATTATTATTTTTGTTTTTTTTTATCATCATTATTATTACTTCTATCATCTTCATTGTCGTCATTAGCTTCATTACTTCTGTTTACTATTATAACCTTAATTACTCACCCTGCCATTAAAAAGTCAGTAAGCAGCTCAAATATTTACTAGGAATTCTGGTCAACTGTAAATGCGTGTGTTATCTCTGTTTGGCAGAAAATTGAATTCAGTGAAATCCAAACGGTTAAGACAAACTAGATGATTAAATAGAAGGAAAAAGAAAGTATCTTATCCTTGAAAGTGTAAAAGACACAATGCGAAAACAAAAGGAAAATGGAAAAGGAAACGAGTTTAGGATAAAAAAAGTACAAAAAGTCAAAGTAGAAGAATCGATTATATATTTGCATATACTTTTTCACGGTCCTGCTCATATTCTTATTAAATGCAGCCACTGTAACTCTGTACTTAGCCTTTCCTTCTTGTGCAGTGTATCAGAGAAAACGGGAATGAGAAAGCCTTAAGGATACATAACATTATACGCATGTATATTCTGTAAACAAATAGAGAGGTCGAGTGAAGACATAGCGGTAACCTTAGGGCATTACAGATAACTAGGATGAAACATTATAACTTTATATGTACCATTTTAGGATAAAGAAACAAACAAAACTATTAAAAGACACTCAGGAAGGGCTAAGCTGTTTACCCCTCCCCCCCCCCCACCGAAAAAAATCACCGTATTTCGAAAAAAAAACATTATTTTCCTAGTAGACCCATTTTCTATGGTGAATAAGATTAACCAGGAACCTATTCAACTGATTCTAGATCCAAAAATCTAATCAACTGGACCCTATACCATTTACAACCCACATATATATTCTATCATAATCTGTCTGTTACTTTCTACGCGTAATTTTACTGATATACCTGTTAACTTACCGATAAAACTAACCAATTAATAGTCCAATGGATACAGGAAAGATATTACCTTATTTACTACTCAGCGGATGTAATAAAACAGTAAATAAGTTGGTGTAGGTGTTCGTTGCAATATGGTTTTGATTAATGCAAGAGTATATCATCTGAGACGAAATAGCTCATGTTGCTTCATTATCGTAAATAAGCTATTATCTTCATCGCCGTTTGTTGTACCAGGAGTGTCAGTAGCATTAGTAGCAGTAGTAGTAAGCAGCATTTGTATATAGTAAGTATATTTGTAAAGATAAGTTTTTTTTTTAAGAATTTCAAATTGGATGGGACGTTTATGTAAAATATACGGAAGATATTCGGTGTAACATGCAGATGAAGTCATTTAGAAGCATAATCCGAGAATGTAGAAATTTTATGACAACTTCAGGTCGAAGAATTATGCAAATTCCGTGAGAGTAAAAGGAATTTGCGAGGATTTCCTTTATTGTTCTTTTTGTTTATAAGCCCTGTCTGTTTTGTATCATTTTTCTTGTAATTTTCCGT